CTTTTTAAGAAGGCTTCTTCACCTTTTCCTCTCCAGTAGTTTTTTTTAACCATCAACAGGTACGGGTCTTGTTCCCTTTGAGAATTGCTATATAAATTTACTTATGTGTTGTATAAACTTGCGTTAAGTTTATACAGCAAGCCTGGAATAGGCAAGAGCAGAGGTAGTCCGGAATAGGCCAACAATGCTGCCGAGTACAGTAATACACGTAGTTGATAGAAAAAGCTTTGTTTGCGGCCATGACAACAAGTTGGATCGAGTTGCCAGATCTTTTGCTCTCTTAACATTTCAATAGAAAAGGCAACGGGCTAGGCTGGCCGAAGCATTTTAGTCCACCGTGATAACTTGGGAGTTACAACGAGGGTAACTCCTTTCCTATTGAGAATCCTTTACTGTTTATTCACTGTGCACCAACACTCTAATTACTGTGGAATTCAACAGTGCTTCAGCCTTTATCTCTTTCACACGGGTTCCTGCCTAATTTTGTCTGTCACGTTCTTATTTTTCTGGCTTTGTCTTGCTGCGTGGCACGCCTCAGGGGTTTGTTGTGCCATGATCAGAGATCGGTTGGCTCTGGCTTTCTCTCCCAGTGTGGCGCGCCTCAGGGGTTTTTGTTCCATGATCAAAGGCTTGATTTGGGTTGTTTGCGCGCATGGGTTGTTTGTTGAGCTGTTTGTTTATGGTGTTTCCAGCGGCTGGGTCGCTTGAACTTCTACGCAAGTCAATGATGGGTTTTGGTGCCAGTGATGCTTGTGGCTTGGTCGTGGCTGATTTTCAAAGAAGCGGACCCATAAGCATGATTGTGCATTAAATATTATGTTCACCTGGCAGGGTTTTGTCTACAGGACAGCATTGGAGAAGCTGCTGGTTTCTGGGTTGGATTAGACCTTTGTTTTGTCTGGACAAAAATTCTTGGGGTTTTAAGTGTTTTGTTGTTTTTATTATGCTTTTTTTGGCTTTTTTACTGGGACCAGATCTGTCTTTCACGCTGTTCTAGTTTCGTTCCTTAAATTTTTCGTTGGGTCTCATGTCATTTCCGGTCCTGTTTGATTGTTTTTTTATTTGGCTGCCAAGCTTTTTCCTTGGGATTCCTGCTCCTTCATATCTTTTCTTAGGGAGTTTGTTCTCTTTGCTTGCTTCTCTTCTTTGTTTTTTTGGGTGGGTTTTCTTCTCTGAGATCTGGTGGTTTGATTTTTTTTCGCTTTTATGATAGTCATTGTTCTTGATGAGCTTTTTTTTTTTTTTTTCCATCATAATCTCCACTATTTCGGCATTTTTGGTTCAGTTATTGTGTCCTTTCTTGATGTTTTTGAGCGTCGTTTCACTGTTTCAGGTTTCTTTCATTGAACGTGCAGGCTGAAGTTGTGTGCGTCGTTCCACGAAGGAGCTGGTTAGCTATCTGTTGGCTGGAACTGAAGCTTTTCTCTATAGGTGCTCTGTCACAGTTCTTGCTTGGTGCTCCTCATTGTCCCTGTTTTTCCTCTCATTGTTGTTTCATTTTAATCTTTTGTTTGTTCTTTCTACTGTTTTTTGCCGGCTGCTCCTTAAGTCATTTTATTTCACCATTAATGCACCAGATAATCCACGAACCCACCCCTCCAAAATCAACCTGAGAATTCAGACTTTTAACTAAAATTCATTTCAAGATCTGGGCTTTATGCAGTTTGGATTCTAGAATCAACTTCTCCTCTCACAAGACAATTAGTTAACAGGAAACAATTAGGTAACCGAGGCCTTATAACTGACACAATTAGAAGTTCTAGAATTAATGGTCGTTCCTGTGAAAAACATTAAGAAATATGTTTTTTGCCAATTGATCCGAGCAAGAGCATGTTGTGCTTCGATTCCTAAACAAAATGGCATGAACAGCAGCTTTAATTGCCTCTTTGTAGATCAACAAGTTTGTTGCTTTTTCATAAGTTAAACTATTCATATAATTTTTATTTTTATTTTTATTTTTATTTTGCCTTGCAAATTTTATAAGCTTTAATTTTATTTTTTATTTATAATTTTAGACACTATGTTTTGCTTATTATAATTTGCTGTAAAATTAAATGCTGCTACTTTAATTTTCCTAGGCCTTACATTTTAAACAAGCACTGAGAACACATTTCCTTTATAATTTTTCACTTATTGATGAGTGTTCCAACTTAACTCTTAGTGTGAGTATGAAATTTAGTTTATAATTCTATATCATACAAGCAATATTCCATTGCATGATTTGAGAAAAAGAATTATTACTTTTATTGGCACAACTTTTATTTATAAATTTGTTACTCCTATATTATCTAATTCCATAGTTAATAAATATATTATGTGACCTCATCCAATCAATTCGTTGCATTGTCATCTCTTGCACTACTACTTTCTGACATCTCATCGTCTTGCTCAATTCATTCCAACATAGAAATAATTACAGGGAGATGCAATAGAAGGGTCAACAAAAACTAGAGATGTTGCCTACTTTTTACCTCAAACATTAATGAAGGTGAATTTTATGAAATGAAAGGCTTTTGAAAGCCATTTCATGCCTTTCACATACCTTTGTATTTTGAATTATAACTTTGCGACCTCTCAAAATAATGCCTTTTTAAATCTGTTGGCTTTCCTAAAATTTAATTCAAAACAAACATGACTCATTTAAGCATTTGATTGCATTCTTCAATTCAGACCTTTTAATCTAGCTTCATGCTTGTAATCATTGATACAAAACTTTCTATGACCTATCATGTCTTTTGCTCCCTTCAGCATAGAGACTTCTCACTCTCACATTTATGTCATTTCATTGAAATTGGATCCTGCACATGTGATAAGTCACTAAATTAACAATCTTATCCTGTTGGCAGCATTACGGTGCAAGCGGGATCGCTCACAACCGAGATCATTCTATCACTAACTTATGCTTCCATTGAAAGCAACACTCCAGCTGAGCCACCTGCTAAAAAAAGCTCGCCTTGCAGTTTCATCTCCTTCAAAGGTTTCACCCTTTTAACACATTCCTCAGTCCTCACCCTTTTTTCCTCTACATTTGTCATTCATATTTTTTTTTTGATCTATTTTGTATCCAATGCATACTTCTTTGTGATTCAACAATGGGCAACCTAGCCATTATTGGCTCTCTTCACTATCATTTTCTGCCGCACCATCATTTATAATCCAATTAGATTTTATTGCTGTATTTCTACTCTTTGTTTTTCATTTTTGTAATGTTTTCACAACAATTCATGATGTCAGCTAACACCTCAAATAAACACACGTTGTTATTTCCATTTTCATTCATTATATTGACATAAACACGACTCTGGTTCAGAAGGGCAGTGACATGATGTGTGCTTCATTGCATGATATTTCTCAAGCAAATTTTGTTCTTACCTGTTAACACAAATATTTACAAACATGCACCCCCCTTAATATATCCAAAGTCCAGACATGCTTCGTGTTCCACTGATCACTGTCATTTCTTTGATGCTCGTATTGGTGTTCCTTCCGTCCACGATGTTTTTTAGTAATTATTTAGTCACTCTCTTTTTGTCTTCCATTACTATCTCACTTTAACTTTTCCACACTCGATGCTGGGAGACTAACATGCAACCAATGTGATAAGAATTCTGCAAGCCCAAAGAAGAAAGTTCCTTGCTTTGTTGTCGAGGCTTGCAAACCTGTTTGCTCACGTCCACTTCATCTATTTTGTTAATTGTTATTAAAATATTATGATATGCATGTTGAAGGGCTATTACTTTTGTTTGAATATGAAGGGCTTTGCCATGCTCTGAAATCTCCTGTGCTCAATGTTTTGAATCAACTTTTTCATACGTTTAAGATTATTTTCAGCGACTTAATTGACATCTAAGTAGATGCTTTTCTTTTTTACTTTGTTCTATTGTTATCTATTGATTGAAATTGCCATCTTTATTCAATTTCTGAATCCATTTGCTATTACAGGAAACAATTTTATTATCTGCCATGTTTAAATCTTCCTAGAAAAACTATAATTAAAAACCCGCTGCATAGCACGGGTTAAAGGGCTAGTGGTGCCACTATGCCATGAAGAAATAAAATTAGCTCCAGCTCCAGCACCAACAGTTGGTGTACATATCAGATTGATGTTGCTGTTGAAAAAGCTGTTGGGCAGTATATAAAACGGAGAGATGACTAAACAATCGATTTGCTCATTTTACAGATCCCATTCCATCTGGCTTAAAAATTATGTCAGCTCCTTTTTCTTGTGCTCCAAAAGGATGTAAATGGGTGGCGCCCATT